GGCGGGCGCCGAAGCCCCTGCGGCGGGCGCGGGGAAGGGCGCGGGCTCGGGGCCGGCGCTCGCCGCCTCCGCTTCTCGAGGCGGAGGCCCAGCGTTTCCCCTTTCTGAGATTTCCTCTCCACTTCTACTGCGATGATCCCTTTGGTGGCATCGCGATGTGACCTGAAAGGGAGACGGAGCTAAGGAAACACGTTGACTTGGGGCCGAGCCGAGGCGTCCAAGGTCCAGTGGCCAGTGTGGTGGCCGCGCGCACGCCTGGCTTGCCAAGCATGGGTTCTCCTTTGGGACCTCCAGGCTGGGACAGATTGCAGACTGGGCGGAGGAGATAGCAGATCTCTATTTCTGCTCAACGTGTAATTGAAAAATCTAGAGTGGGGGCTCATTTCTGCCTCTGAGCCACCCTGAATTTAAATGCACCACTATGAATTATGAAACGGCCTTCCACATTTTACATTTGCTGCTTAGCATGCTAAACTTGGTCGAGTTTTGGAGTACACTCAGGGCTAGTCTTATTCCAATGATTGGGATATATAGAGTTGAGGTAATATGATAAATTGAAAACACATTTATTTCACATTTATTGCAGCCATGGCTTTAAAAGGACAAGAAGATTATATTTATCTTTTCAAGGATTCCGCACATCCCGTGGATTTTCTTGATGCGTTCAGAACATTTTATTTGGATGGATTGTTTACTGATATTACCCTTCAGTGCCCTTCCGGCATAATCTTTCATTGTCACCGAGCTGTTTTAGCTGCTTGCAGCAATTATTTTAAGGCAATGTTCACAGCTGACATGAAAGAAAAATTTAAAAATAAAATAAAGCTCTCTGGCATCCATCATGATATCCTGGAAGGCCTTGTTAATTATGCATATACTTCTCAGATTGAAATAACTAAAAGAAATGTTCAAAGCCTCCTTGAAGCAGCAGATCTACTCCAATTCCTTTCAGTAAAGAAGGCGTGTGAGCAGTTCTTGGTGAGACACCTGGATATTGATAATTGCATTGGAATGCACTCCTTTGCAGAATTTCACGTGTGTCCAGAGCTAGAGAAGGAATCGCGAAGAATTCTGTGTTCAAGGTTTAAGGAAGTCTGGCAACAAGAAGAGTTTCTGGAAATCAGCCTCGAGAAGTTCCTTTTTATCTTATCCAGAAAAAATCTCAGTGTTTGGAAAGAAGAAGCTATCATAGAGCCAGTGATTAAGTGGACAGCTCATGATGTGGAAAATCGAATCGAATGCCTCTACAATCTACTAAGCTATATCAACATAGACATAGATCCAATGTATTTAAAAACAGCATTAGGCCTTCAAAGACGCTGCTTACTAACAGAAAACAAGATACGCTCTCTAATATACAGTGCCTTGAATCCTATGCATAAAGAGATTTCCCATCGGTCCACAGCCACAATGTATATCATTGGAGGCTATTACTGGCATCCTTTATCAGAGGTTCACATATGGGATCCTTTGACCAATGTTTGGATTCAGGGAGCAGAAATACCAGATTACACCAGAGAGAGCTATGGTGTTACATGCTTAGGACCCCACATTTATGTGACTGGAGGCTATAGGACAGATAACATAGAAGCTCTGGACACAGTGTGGATCTACAACAGTGAGAGTGATGAGTGGATGGAAGGTTTGCCAATGCTCAACGCCAGGTATTACCACTGTGCAGTCACCTTGGGTGGCTGCGTCTATGCGCTGGGTGGTTACAGAAAAGGAGCTCCTGCAGAGGAGGCCGAGTTCTATGATCCGCTAAAGGAGAAATGGATTCCTATTGCAAACATGATCAAAGGTATGTGTGGACTTTGTTTATTCTGTGTTTTTTAGATGTCTAGGTTGGACAGTGTTCTGGGTAAAAACAGCATAGCACAGTCCTTAACTTGTTTGAGAGTTATTTAATTGAAGTGTACTAGAAAAGAAATATAAGGAAAAAGAAATGTCAGAAAACAGGATAATTCATTCTGTTTATATATACCTTACCCTAAGTATCTTGCTTCATGTCTTCAGAATTTTGTTGTAGACCAAATTTTGTTGTAGACAACTATGTATTTCAAGCTGATTTTGAACTCGTTGTGTAGCCCAGGCTATCCTTGAACTCATGAAGATCCCCTTGCCTCAGTCTTCTGAGTGCCGGGGTTATAAGCATGTACCACCATGCCCAGCCAAGTCTTCAGAATTTATACTTGAATTGGAGGCTACATGAAGAAACAGAGCTGGGGAGTTTTATTAATTCATGTTTTAGGGGTTTTAAAAGACTTGTTCTTGAAATCATGCCCTTCTCAATTCTGCTTTTTAATATTTAATGTTTTTTTCTTCTCAAAATATACCGGTCATCTGCCAAAATGTCCTTCGTTAAAACCCTGGAATGTTTGGTCCCTACAGGATATTAAAAAAAAGCAAAATGTCCTAAGAACTGAAGGCAAAAAATCCTCTGCTCTGTGTGACACAGGATTGTCTCAGAATAAAGGCGAGGAGCAGATCCCACAGATCTGGCCCACAGAGCCAGGTACACTACTGGGTCTCAGTATCTTTCTGATAAACACTTTTCTGCTGTGTTTGGTCATGTACAATCCCTGTTCTCCTTCCCTGCCACTGGAGAAAAAGATAAACTGTAATGGATTTTGATTCCATTACATTTATTCATTGCTGCTGGGGCGTCCCAAAACAGCTGGCAGGTTGTTACCAAACTTGTTTCATTTTGTCCCAAATGTTTCTTCCCAGGCCTTGCTGTTTCTTTTTTTAATGCTGGTGAGGGTGTGGGAATTTGACCTGGTCTGGAAATCTGACCTGGAGTGATCCTTGGAGGACAAGCAGGAAGCTTGAGGGGCGGAATGCTCTTGTGGTCAGGCGGCCACGCTGCATCTGCAGCTCCCTTTCCTGGGTCCAAGTCCCCACCTTCCACTTACTGGGGAGCTTGGGAAAATTGTTCAGTCTCTTTGGGCCCCAGTTTTGCAGTCTGCATGATGGGCATGAAGCAGTATATAGTTCAGGATCATGGGAGGATTAAGTGAATTTATGCTTGTGGAGAGTCAGGAAGAGTAAATGATGTTAGGTCTGATTGTCATGGATGTCACTATTGCAGAAATATCATTCACATAAATCAGGACCATTCCATGTCCACAGGTACAGCAGTAGTTGGTAGGGTGGGCGACCTTAGCCTAAAGCCCACTATAGTTGACTGGTTATGTTTTTGCTTTGTCCTGACCTTGACCACCACTTAACTATTTTCATTGTGGTCCTGACTCCTATCCTACAAAAGAAACAAGAAAAGTTCAATTATTATAGCAGCAACTGCAAACATGGGTATGTTTCCCTTCGTTTTTTAAAATTAATTCAGGGTCTACAGAGTCTCACTAAGTAGATCAGACTCGTAGTGATTCTCCTGTTTTCAGCCTCCCAATCTCTGGAATTAGCAGGTGTGCACCACCACACCCGGTCTCAGTCACCATCTCAGTGCGCCCTGGGGGCAGGGCCAGCATGGCACACTGGAGATTGAACCTAGGCCACTGCACTCTGCCTAAGCAGGTGCTTTAGTTCACTGAGCTATCTGGCTGGCCCTTTTGCTTTGTTTCTTATTGATGAGATAACAGGTTCAACAGTTCAGAATAGGGCTGGGGAGATAGCTCTGTAGTCCAAGTGCCTACCTGGCAAGTGCAAGGACCTAGGTTCAATCCCTGGTACTGCTCCAACCCAGGCACTAAATCCGAGCGAGGTGACTCAC